CCCAGCTGAGATCAATCATTTTCAATAGAATTGAATGTGGAAATTAATTGATTCCTCAGAACCAGTGTGAGGCCAAACTTCCTCATATACACTTTTGACAATGACATTTCCAATTATTGCAACACCTTCTTTAGTCGTCTGGGTGAGAACTTGTTGCAGTGTTGCAGTGTTGCAGCAATGACTCGCATCCTCACATGCCGCTATTGACAGCAACCTTTTGGGAATAAGCTGAACATTTGTGAATGGTCAGGAGATGCTAAATATGTATAACTATTATTGACCGATTTAATGTAAATGTTGAAAGTCAATATTGAAACAGCTACTTGTTTACCCATTCATCAAACCCTGAAATGCTGGCTGCACACAGAGTGGCAGAACACCATTAGACTCATTAATTTTCTGGACATAAAACATCTCTGTGAATGGTCTCAAGCAATGCTTCTCAGAAAGAGTCTGTGCATTCCAGTGTCTGCAAGGGGGATCTGTTTTAGAGTGTATGTCTGTGCTTGCGTTCGTGTGTGATTCTGTAAAGTGCGTCTCCATCTTTGTGTGTTTGTTTGCATGTGTAGCCTTGTGTGTGTTGACTTATGCAGATGCACACGCACATCGCCTAAGTTTAGAGATGCTGGTCTCATCAGTAGTGGTTCTGGCTCAGGGTTGCAGTTTTTGGACCATCTTCCTGCTTGCTCTCCCAGTAGTCCGCTAATGGGTTTGCCCGGGGTTGATGCCTTGTTCGTGGGTTGCCAAAAAGTGAAGGTGCCTTATTCGTCTGGAACTTTGCAGAGCCTCTGCAGATTTGAGGCGTATAGCATAGTAACCCATCTGTCCTTTTCAGTACCGGGGGAACAGGTTTAGTGGGAGAGAGAGGTTTAAGACATTTCCTGGAGAAAAAAAAATGAAAAAAGACTTCCTTGAAAACCTCCAGAAACAGAAAAACAGCATCTTTATTGTGTGTATGTCTGCATTAATGTGGGATCCTGTTTCCTCCCTCTTACTGTACCAAAAATGTTTACCAGCAGACAGATGCTCCACAGCCATGAACCTTGTGTATCTGCATCATTTAGCCACAGATTCACAAACACCAAGAGGCGTCTGGCCCCAGTACAAGCGAAGACTGTAAATAGTAATTCCCTAGTAGCGTCTAAACAGCTACACTCAAAGGAGCAGTTTGCTTTTGGTCACTTACTGAAAATTGGATTGGCTTGGGTGCTAGAAGAAGTTGAAATTTAGTTGGAAGTGGCTGCTAAAACTTTATTAAACTTTTTTTCAAATTGAGGATATTAATTTTAATGTAAAGCTCTCACTTCCTGTGCATAAGGATTCTTTAAACAGATAGATGAATTATGTATGGGCAGCTGCTGTAATAACTGGAATGATCCTCTACCGCAGGTGTTGATTGTTCAGGCTCATATTGATTTTCAAATGTGAGACACAGAGATAAATTGAACTGAGTTGAATGCAGGGCAGCAGTCAAAGCTTTCTGTGGTTTTTGGCTCTTCCTCCGTTTCCCTTGATGAACCCTGTGAGGACGCCACGGGGGCTCAGGAAGGAGGGGAGTGGGGGTCGGGGAGGTTGCAGGTATGCCTGGAATCTCAGACTGTCCTCCACTTTCCCTCTGTCTCCCTGCAGTTCTCCCTGGTAAATGAGAGGGGTGTCTGGCCAGACACACACACACACACACACACACACACACACACACACACACACACACACACACACACACACACACACACACACACACACACACACACACACACACACACACACACACCAAATGTGCCAAATGTGTTCAGGGTCTGCACATCAACCTGGATGTGGGGGAGGGTACATCAGGGGTTAGCTCCTGGCTAATTGGTCTGGACTAATGGTCAAGGGGGAGCAGTTTGCTCAAAATAAACTTGTTTTTAATGCTGAATTGAAATGGATTAATAGAGACAGAGTGTGTAGAGCTGAGCAGAGACCCGGCGTGGTGAAATAAACTCTACAGTGCTAATGAAAATTTTCAAATTTATACTTTATAGTAGGAGTCATCCCAGAAAGTGGAAGCAGAGTGAGTGGAAATGTACTGAGTTTATAGAGGAGAGGGAGAGTGTGAAGCCCCAATCTGACTGGGGCCTCAGATTAACTGCCCTGTGTACATAAACAAGTATACATATTACTGTTGCTATCCAAATAGTCCTGCTATGACGTAGCATGTGCCTGCACATAGTTTATAAGAGCAGCACATTCAAACAGTTCCTCAGATCAATGCCGTTTGACAGAGAGGTCTCTATATAAAGAGTGATTCAGTCTGTAAAGACAGGACACCACAGAATATGGCCTTTATAGCAGAATCAGGTATGAAGGAAACTAGCCTAATTTTTTATAGAAAGATTAACAGCATTAAGAAAGAGTTTGTGGTGCTCATACAGTAGCGATCTTTGATTTAAGAGAATAAATGGAACCCTGGGACTTTAAAGATGCAGTCTGCAAGTGACACACAGATTTTCGACATTGACATTTTTACCACTTTTCCAAGATTTCTAAATGACAGATTAGTTCAATCAATCCCTCTGTTCTGTCACCTCTGAATAACCAGACATGTTCTGTCTTGGTGTTTGTAGATTCTCTTTTCATGGAATGCTTTATTGATAGTGTTTTGGCTCATCGGCTTGGTACATCCAGCTGCTCCAGCCAGGGTGGAAAAAAAAGAACTTGCCAGCCATTCACCTAGAAATGATCCAGTTACAGTTGTCCCCTGTGATGCATAAATCACTTATAAGTTCATCCACTATGTTTCCACTTGCGTGGGTGGTGTCCCCTTCTGCTCTCACTGCTTTGAAGAAGTTTCTCAATTTCTCCAGAGTTCATTTTCAGTACACCAATCTGAAAGATATCCAATAAAGGTTTTGTGACCATAGGTCTTTCCTACAGGCTCTATGTGCTATTGATTCTCTCACAGGCTCTACTCTTGCTACAGTCTGGGCAAAGGGTGAGATTGAGGAATACTAAACACAAGGAAGCCACTGGTTTATTTTCTTTCAAAAAAAACACCTGGCACTGAATGTCCAAAAAAATGGAGTGGCTGCCACACAGAAGTGGACCTTTGAAAGTGTTGTTGTATTATTGTCTTGCTGAAGGTCCCTTACTATTTTCATATTCATCCAATTTTCCTGCATCCTGCATCAAGCCAGTTGTCCCCGGTCCACAGGTCCCTACTCCCACACCTCCACCTTCAGACAATGTCATTGATGATTACAGCGTAGATAGAATATTGTTTGATGTGATGACCACCAATGACAGCATCCACCTCTATGTATCCAAGACTTTGAGAGCCTCTACAAAATGAGGTGTCCCTTACACAGCTGCTGCTGAAGCCTCCTCTTCTTCTGCCTCTCCACGTGTATCACTCCTTTTTCCCTTGTCTTCAGTTTTGTTCTGTGCTTGGCCTGGGTAGGAGAGGAACTCATTGAATTCCCCATGTGCAGTGTTCAGCTGTTGTTCATTATTTATTAGTGCTCGCCTTTTTTAGCTAATCACGTACAAGATTCTTTTTATTCTGCTCTGCTTCTTACCTTATTTCTGGCTGTCAGCTGGTGTAATGTGTGCAGCAGGGACGCATCACTGTGGAGACGCAGGTTCAATTCACGTTAGCAGCACCTCTGGCTTGGCTGTGCTTTCTGATTAGTACACTGGGTATTGCTTTTTGATGGGAAGCCAGTGAGGGATAAGGTCACCGTCTCTGCAGCGCCGATGCTTTCCGTGTTGGTTGGGGTTTATTCGATGTGGAGCTTAGGATGCTGGGGAATAGGATGAAACAAACTGGACCGTTGCGTATTCTTACTGGCAGAAGAAAAGAAGCAGCTGGCAACAACATGGCGGTAGCAGTGGCACGTGGCTGTCTACACCCTCCCCAGAGCAGCAGTGGAGTTAGCTGGGACACGGACCACAGAAACAGTGGAATATGTCATTCTAAATCGGGGAGATAAAAAGGAAAATTTAACATAACATGAAAAAAAAGACAAATGAGTCTCACATGTGATACAAACTTGGGGAAAACTTGTTAAACTCTTGATGAATTAATGCACTAGTTCCTTGACTATTACCCTTGTGGGCATTCCCGAAAGGCCTGGGACGTCTGACACTTCTAGCACTTGGCCGGTCTTACTCTGTATAGTCTGGCAGAAACACTTAGGTATTTTCAATTGAACAAGTTTGCTTTCTGAATGTCCAGATATGTGCCAGAGATTCTGGTGTCTATGAAAAAAACAGTCAATTTCACAAATGAAGAGTAAGTTGATATGTTTTCTTATAACTGATACAGTATGTGTGACACTCGATCTCTTATAGCTCATACACCATCACATAAACTTGACTCAGGGTCTTGTTCTGTGTTTTTTTTTTTTTTGTGTTATTCTGAAATTACACATATTGTATGCTCCACTGGTGCAGAGCCATAACTTTCATTGTAACTAATTTCTCTCTGTACATGCATGACTGAGATAACTGGATCTCACATACAGAATTTTTCCATTATGGAGCTATTTATGTGAGGAATAAGTAGGAATTAAGTTTCAGTTGCATGGCCTCCGGTCAAGGAGCTCATGCTAGGGACCTGCACTGAACTATACATGGCACCACTGTGATATCGCTTGTTTGTTTTGGCTACTGTTAGCCTGTCTCTCCATGCAGACCTAGAAAGCCTTTGGAATGTTTTTTTTTTTTTTTTTTCTGCAGAGGAAGAAGAAACTTGGAATAACAGCTTTAGAAATGTTGGCTTTCCTGTGTATGATGTGGGCGAGGGGAAACTAGAACTATGGTGATGAATATTGTCAGATGAATAAAACTATGACATTACTTCATGAAGTTGTGCAGTCAAGGCAGAGATCGAAAAACTGTGGTGAGGTCAGTCTGCAATGGTGGATTATACAAATCAAATCAAGGTGGACCTACAGCCACAGTGTTTTACGCTCATGAATTCAGCGAGTCAAATCAACCGTGTGTGTGTGTGTTTTTTTTAGGTGGATCTCATGAAGAACATCAGTAATATCCCTCAGCCATTCCTCTATACACGGCATGTTCACTTCCTCAACTTTACCAGGTACAGCAAATACATTAACTCTTCGTGCTCGTTTCATTCCAAATGTTGTTTTAGACGGGCAGGAGGTGTTAACTTACATTTTTCTTTGTCTTTGTCTCAGGTTCAGGATAGAGCAGCCGGTCTATATCAACATAATCCGGGATCCAATCAACCGGTTCCTCTCCAACTACTTCTTCCGTCGCTTTGGTGACTGGAGGGGCGAGCAGAACCACCTCATCCGCACTCCGGGGATGAAGGATGATGAGAGATACCTGGTGAGACATTTGTTTTCAAGCAAACAAGCTGATTATTGTTTCTTCCTTGTGAAAAAAGGGACTAATATGTTTTCAATGATATGAGTCTGCTCAATAGCTAAATAAGATGTGCACCATCTTTCATTAAGGAGAACTACATACTGTATGTCTCTCTGCTTGAGTCTGACATAAAGTATAGTCACATACTGTGCAGGCACATGGGGTTTGTTGATTGATTAGCTGTAGTTTTGGGGCAAAAGCTTTGCATCTGCCTTGGAGTTTGGAAAGGGGTTGGTTTAGGAGGAATTCAATACATCAAATAATCAATCAATCAATCAATCAATCAATCAATCATTGGACTAAACATACAGAAAAGCAAAGAAAATAAAAGAAATGAAAAATAAAACAACCACATTAAAAACATTAACGTTAGAACGAAGTTTGAATAAAATAAAAACTGAAAATAAAACATAATTCATTATCAGTCATTTTTATAAAAAACTAAAATAATAAGCCCTAAGTATAAGCAAATACACAGCATGAGGCTGTGAACTTGTGGCTTCTGAGGAGGCACCACATTTGGTTACCATGTTGCTGTGATCCCAGGAGAGGCAGCACCCAACGTAAGGAACTTTATAACAATATTATTTAATCAGTCAAGCAAATACTGAATCTTTTAGCCCTCTTCCCCTCTATCTGCAGTGCCCACAAACCCATTTACTCTCATATGGACATTAGGTAAATCAATGCCACGGATGTTTATGGTTTGAAATACTAATGCGTTTGCAGTATTTGACAGAGCTGCACAGTTACTTTATGACTGAGTCACTGGCTTGCCAATAACAGTGCTTTGAATTTGTATCTGTTTTGGCTCCTGTCCAGCTGGTTTCATAACCTAAAGCTCAGTTGAGACATGAATTGAAATGTTGTATATTCATTTCTTATTCTGGTATGACCTTGATGTACATTATAATTATGGAGGAATGTACACTAAGTAGTATTTGTAGCACAGAGAAACAGTACTAATACTGACTGTTGTTCTGTGTTGTACAAACACACTGTCTGATCCTCCACAAAAGCTGACTCCTGCTGACATATATTTCTGTTTTCTGCCTCCATTCATTCATTGAATAACTGATAAATAGGACATCATGTGTCAGCCAGATCATTACGTCTGAAGTGTTTGAGATCTCTGTATCTCTGTTTGTCGTTAGCTTGAGACAAACATTAACTTCCTAAATGCTAATATATAAGTAAGAAAACATTTTTTAAGTACAGAAATATATCAAAACCACATTCTACTCTCTTTGAAGATGTTCTACACGTGGTGTTGCTGGAGGGAGAAAGGCAAATTGTAAGGCCATGGCAGCCTGATGCCAACCCAATATTTAAATCTGATTATGATTCCAATTAGAGACTTGATTTAGTATAACCACATCAGAAACTTGGTATCCTACATCTGCCTTGCAGAGTTGTTTACCCCTGTAGCACCATAATAAAGGCAGTGCATCTCACATTTTACAGTTCTTGTTATTTGGAGGCGCACTTTAATTTCCAAGTTGCCATTTTTTGATCTCTGTGTGAGTTTTACACTGTGGAGGAGCAACTTAAATAAAGTTTGAGTTTAAGTTCATACGTACGGTACAGTTGGCAGTGTAGTGATGGGTCTAATGTAGGATTGGAATTCCCCTTAAAGTAAGACAAACAGCTACACGCAGGATAAGAAGACAATAGGCAAAAACTTAAAACACTATGCACTAAAAAGAGGTCAAAACGATGATTCTATCGACACCTGGTCCAGATTTACTGGCAAATCAATATCCAGGCACAAACACAGGTACATTCCTACAGTCCTCTATACTGCCAGAGACTCACTCTGAGAGCTCAGAGGCCCGTGTCTGCAGCCATACTCAGAAGCTAACAGGAGGAGTGAATGTCATTCTGGCTTGAGTCTGACTGGGTGTAATTAAGTATTGCACTGCTTTCCCTGGAGTTTTGGACCATGTGAGTTGAGTTATTAAAGTATGCAGACCACGGGGGCCCCTTGCTACAGTTAAAGGGGAGAGGGAGGGCTATGTTGCTGTAGACTGGCTTACCTGTGTGTGTGTGTGTGTGTGTGTGTGTGTGTGTGTGTGTGTGTGTGTGTGTGTTTACTCCCCTTTTACTTATGAGGACCAAATGCTCTACACAGGGTTAAAAACTGGCTAAAAGCTATTAAAGTAATGACATTTTGTTGGTGTTCACTTCTTTGTTCGGGGCTAGTTTAGATAGTTAGAAAATGTGATGGGATGTTTTCCCCTTGAGTCATTAAAGTGTGTTGTAAGTTGTGCCTTCTTCCCCGTCACTTTGATTCAACTTAATTGGCCAAAATGGATTCACTCTCTGAAAATATCTTGAACTGAGATTTTGCTGCACACCAAATGCATAGACGTCAAGTGACTACATTAGTAGAGTGTCCCTCAGGTGGCACCATATTCAAAAATACATATTTTCAGTGGTTTCTTGATTTGCTCTCTCTCCTTACTACTTTACATTGTTGTTGTTGGTATTACTTCTTTGTACTGACTGTTCTCAATAGCGACTACAAAAGCCCAGCTTACCTCATCAGCAAAAACAGCTTGTAGTTATGTGACAAATCATATCTATAAACAGTGGCGGCAAACATGTGCCACACTAGCATTTGTACAGTTATAAAGCTGCTTGAAACTGTAAAGGTTTAAGGGTTAAAGATTTAGCTTGAAGTGGAAAGAGTGTAGAGAGTTGAACTTTCAGCTTCTGTGAGCTGGAAGCAGCTGTCCACATACTATATCCAAGGGTTGGAGAGGGTTAGTGGGATTCGCTCCGCCAGACATATCAGCAACCCAAACCAATGAGACTTCGGCACTGATCCTCAGCAACACTTTCAGATAAAAGGGAGTTATTCGATTCAGTGTTAACATCCAAAATAAGGCTCAATAGAGATTTAAGTTTCAGTGTCTTGTGTACAGAGTTTAAGTCCAGATTTTAGGCCAGCAGATGAATGTCCTCACAAGTATAGCAATTCAGATACATGTGTGTGTATCAGCATGTGTGCCCTGCTATGTCAACACTCAAGAGTTCAGACTAGTCTTGGATATATCCCCTGCCTGGTGCGTATTAGCCCTGCCGGCCCTGCGCTGGGTGGATATGAGGGGTGTCAATGAAAGAACACTGTCAGTTTGCTAGCCCGGGCTGAGGGGAACCTGATGCACGTGTTACTGAGACATTCCTGTGGTCGGCTTGGATTTTCCGTCAGTCCCCACACCCCTTTTTACACACACATACACTACACTATACAAAGGCATGCACTGGACACTTGAACGCAGACTGTACTAAAGTATACACTCACACAGGACTGTCACTTAAGACTTAAATAATTTTTTTATTTGGGACTGAAGTGGGTTTTAAAAAGACAACTCAGACTGATCTGGCCAGATTATTTTAGCTACTGTATAGAGTTACGTACCACAAAGTACACTGTATGCATAGGTGTGTGTTCATATACATGCAAACACATGCAATCTATGAAGTAATCCAGTGTCTCTACTGAACCCGATGAAACAGAGACGAGTTCTCACGGTTCAAATATACTGGTCCGATCAGGTGAGATTCCCACGGCAAGTGAAAATCATCTGCACTCAGCGAATCTGACATTTACAATGAGACATACACATGCTTAAACAAATAAGTGCACACAAAGTAAGAGAGGCTTTCCTGGCATCAACCATGCCCTAGCATGCACTGACATTAGAAAGAGTGAGGTGGTGTATCTGTCACAGAGTTGATGCCTAAGGCGCAACCGACACGAGCTTGACTGGTCGCATCATTGGGTGTTGATGAAGCAAGTATGTTTTATATTTTATTGTTGTTTTTGTTTTGTTTTGTTTTTTTTGGGGGGGGGGGGGGGGGTTGTATGACACAGAACTCTAATGTCATTTTTGTATGGATTTCTGTGATTGGAAACCAAACTGCCAGTTGATATATTTTCTGGTAGGTTTAGATCCTCCCCATCTGGCATTTAAATAAACAAAACAAATGGCAATAATTATTAGTTACTTATTTAAAGTGGCTATAATCAGTATTTTATTTTTTATTTTTTATGGCCCTCAACTTTACTGTTTGGTTCACTTTTACCTATTTCATCAGTGTAGCTTTGGGTTGCGGCAGGCATTTGTTTTCAATGTAAAATACTGTAAGCTTCCACTGTATGCTAACTGTCCAGCAGCAAATGGCAGGCAGAAAAAGTTAGCAGGCATAGAGGAGCATTTTAGCAGCTTAAGAGCCAGATATTTTTGCGCAATAGTTGATGGAGAAAAGACAAAAAAAAGAAAAAAAAACTTAAAAGGACACTGAATGTTGGATTTGAATTCATTAAGTGGCCAGAAACATGACTCCAAATTAATGATAACGTTGCTTCAGACGTGCAACTGCTTGTTAGCAGGTTCCAAAGGTCAACTTAAAACGTGAAAATATTTCAGTCACTTGTCTTCCGCTGCCCCCAAGTGGCAAAGAAATTTGTTCTTGCAGGTTTAAATATGAGCTGACCGAGGTCGACTTCTTGCGCGCTCGCTGATGGAAACCAAGTCAAACTGTCCCATGGGAAAGGTTTGCATCATCAATTACTCCTGATTTAATTCATGCACACAATCCATTCAGTGAAACAGGAGGCCGCTGTAGAGATTAGGGCCTATTTTGCTACAGTTTCTGTGACTGCTCAGTTGGCCTAATCCACAGTGAGAATAGGAACAATGAGCTTGAGTGTGCACACAGGAGTTCTCTCCGAAATACTAATGGGGCTTTCTAAAGAGACTGCGTATTGTCTATCCACTGTGTGTGTGCGTATTTGATTGGGCGTAGTTGTATATAAATGAGTTGTGGCTGGATTCCCACAGGTCCCCTAAATGCCGAAGCATAAGGGCCCTGTATCAAGTGTCGGAGCGAAGCAGAGGAGGGACTTCCTGGCAATAAGCCATGTGTGTCGGGGAATGGCGTCACACATGTCACTTCCTGTCCGCTTTTCTCACTTTCTTTGACTTTGGCCGTCAGTTGTTTCTTCACACTTTTTCTGTTTCTAATTTGGCTCGTAATGATTTTCTTGGGAGCTTTTGTGCTGTGCTGCATTAGGTGGGAAAAGCCTGGTGTGAGTCCATTCCCAGTGTCTATTTATTAGCATGGCAAGTGTAGAGTTTATGTGTGAAATGTACTGTAACTGTTGTATTTTAGTTCAGGTATCTCTGCATGTGGTTTATGGTTTCTCACACGGAATACGCTGCCAAAATCTTTTTTATTGTATTTTTTGAGAAAATGACTGTAGACTGCGGGGCAAGGAGATATGCTCATAATTGAGAACACCAGATGCACTGACACTGCCGTTCTATAAAAAAATAATGAAACACAAGAACAACAAATTGTTCATGAAATTATGAATCAAAGAAAAGCGGGGCAAAACTTATCGGAAGTCCGGACACGACCTGTACGCTAACAATAGCACAATGGTGAACTGTTTTCTAAAGGTTCCACTGGGGTTTTGTTGTGGTTTCTTTGAAGAGCTTTCCAGTGGTTTGCTTCACTGATCACCAATAAGTCCTGTTCCCCATGCATAGTGCAGCTCAGAGTAGTCAGTCATAAAGTTCAAACAAACCCCGCAGCTACTCGATGAATCAGAGACACAGTTGTACCACAGTGCTCAGCTGCAAGGAAAGAATAACTGACCAAGTGCATAATTTATGTCATCCCAATTTATGTATGTAGACATCTGTGCAGGGCCTCACACTCACCCTGTCACTGCTACCTCGGTAGAAGCTTGAGAAGAATCCAAATGTACAGGCATCTTAGTCTATCAGATTTTGTCGCTAACTGTCTCATAGAACAAAAATGCCATCAAATTAGTCTTTACATCATCATGCTTGTGTTAAGATGCAGCCAAAAATACAACAGAACGAACTGACGAAAGGGTAACTGTAACCTCTACCTGTGCAACTGTCTAAAAAGGTACACAATCCAAGCTGATATGTGCTCACATACACGTGGTTTCTTGCCTTTAGTAGTCCATGTTTAGACCCCTGTCAGTGAGGTGTTTTTTACAGCTCAGGCACCAGATTCCCAGTGTTGACACGCAGGCCTCTCACATCTCACCCTCAAAAGCGGTCTGCGTCCTCTGGGAAGGTCTGGGCCTCTGGTCCTGTCTGACTCAACCTAATCTCTGTGATGGACCGTGTTGGCCTCAGTGTTGGCTTTGACAAATCGCTCTGTTCAAATCAGCCGTTACCGACTTATCAGGGCATAAATCTAAAGGGCAGGCTTTGACGTAATCATTACACTTTCAATTTGCATCCACTTTTAGACCATGTTCACTTTCATACACAGGCTCGTCCGCAACAATTGCCTCCTGGTGCTACAGCATGTGTGTGTATATGAGCACAAGCATGTGGCATATCTGCATGCGCCCGTGTGTGTGTGTGTGTGTGTGTGTGCGTGTGAGTGAGTGAGTCATGCTTCGTGGAGTGTTTTGTTGCTCAGGACTCGTTGCCATCCATAAGACTTACGTCACCTGACATGGATTTGACTGCTGGTTCCACAGCACTGAGTGGCTGGCCAGCTTCACTCCTGCATGTGTGTTTTTAATCTTTCCGCTGTGTTTTTCTTTTCCCCTTTCATTATTTAATGGCTACCACATTCGGACAAAGTTCACGGCTCTCATTAGTTCTGACTCCTTTAAAGTGTTTGTTTGTTTTTTTTCCAGTTGAACATTAATCCATACATTAGTTTATGTTTCCTTATTTGGCATCTCAGCTTCTGAGAGCAGCTGAGGTGAAGAGGCAGAGCTTATCTTTGTGCACAGGATGTTTGTTAGGCAAAGTGCTTTTTCTTCTCAGATGATACCATCAAGTGGTTTGTGTTCACAGCAGTGCAAGTGAGCAGCGCCCTCTAGTGGCAGAAGCAAAGCATTACAGCTCTCTTTGAGAATTCCTTGTGACTGGAAAGAAAACTCTAAAGGAAGGTGTGATAAATAATTTAATGGATTTTAAAATATTCATCTGGTTTCAGGATATCAACGTGTGCATTCTAGAGAATTACCCCGAGTGCTCCAATCCCAGAGTTTTCTACATCATTCCCTACTTCTGCGGACAGCATCCTCAATGCAGGTATCTACACACCCTTGAGTGGCATGACAAAGCATTTTACTCTTTGAGACATTGGTATAATTTTGGTGTTATTTCATTTCTTGTCTTGTAAGGCTTCTATGCTGCTGCCTGTTTATTTGTCTGTATTTATTTTTCAGTCTCTCACCCTCATTTTTATTCTCTCCTCACCAGAGAGCCAGGAGTATGGGCTTTGGAGAGGGCCAAGCAGAATGTGCTGGAGAACTACCTCCTCGTGGGAATCCTGGAGGAGCTGGAGGATGTTCTGCTCCTGTTGGAGAGGCTCTTACCTCATTACTTTACTGGAGTACTCAACATTTACAAGAGCCCGGGTACACTCATGTTCCAAAATGCCTCTTTGTTGAAGTATCATATTAGTAGCTGAGTTCCCTCTGAAAATTTAAATTTTCTGCAACTTTATTTTGTTGATTCCTATCACGTTGCATGCCACTGACTTCCGCTTGGTGTTTTTTTTTTTCTTCTTGCAGACTACAGAAAGATGGGGAACATGACAGGCACAGTGCGCAAACACACACCCACTCTGGAGGCCCTGCAGGTGCTTTACCACCGCATGCGCTACGAGTATGAGTTCTACAACTTCATCCGTGACCAGTTCCATCTGACGAAGAAAAAAATTGGCCTCAAGTCTGTCTCCCAACCCCCTGCTTATTCACCTGCTTTCCTACGGGAGCTGGCCCTCCGAACCCCAGAGCCTCTGGATGAAGATGAGGAGCTGGACACAGACCTGGAGGATGCCAACAGCTGGCTGGTCCATCCCTAAGGGCTCTTTGATGAACAGTGGATACAGCCAAAAAAGGCTGATTGGCTAGAATTGGCTGGAGATAGCTGGAGGCAGCCTGAAGGCAAAGGGGAGCGTTCCCCGTCTTTCGGCAATCCCAAGAAAAGTGAGGTGTGTTTAGGGGTGTGCGGATCCTGACGCTCGTGTTTTTCCGAGCTCTGTTTTCCATCTGCAATAGACTCCTATCACGGCAGGCTCAGCACTGAGGACTATAGGGTTGAGTTATTGGAAGGACAAAATGCTCTATTTAAAAATTGACCAAGGACAATGGGAAATAATTTTAAGCTCATTTTGCTTGACTCAAATTTTGTTTTAATTTGAGCTTGTTTTGGGTTTAATTATGTAAAAATAAACAAAAATCTATCATAGCTATAATCTCCAGGAGAGATTAGCGCAAGATGTGGACAGCTAAATGTGTTGGGAAATATTCTATATGTTGGTCGCTTGGATGTTTACTGTATGAGTGGACTTCAGAGACATTGCCCAAAAGAGAGGATGCTATTTTATGAAAGGATTAATGTCCTAAAAGCTGGAATGGAAATGATATCCACAAATAAAAAAAAGTGCCAAAAGTCTTGTATGTATATTAGTCGTCCAGGACTGTTGTAAGTGCCAAACCTCGCTAAGAGTTCCAGTAACTGTGTGAGAGGAACCTCTGTGCACAGCTGGTGCAGTTGTGGGACATAGTCAAGTCAGTCGTTATAGTATTGGTTTATAACATTTTTTTTTTCATTTGTCAGATATTCTTAGGTATAAATGAGGGTTAAACAGTAAGCACTCAATTATGAATTCAAAGAATTCCAACTATGTGTGCATGAATGATTGAGTTTGACCAAACCAGCAGCATATTTTAGGATAGATTTATTACTTGGAACAGGTCATTAGTTGAGAATATAGGCTAATATAACAGTAAAAAGCATTTATGGAGCGTAATTAGTTTAATCCAAAGTTTAAAAGATTGAGCTTGCCAAATACCAGTGTTTCTACTGCGATGCATTACAAAACTGTATGAGTATAGAGCACTTTTTTCTGAGGTGACTTTTACTGAAAATTCTGCAGCAAAATGAGGGATTTGGTCACAAAACTGGGAACTAATTTGCCTTCAATTTCAAATAGATTACGTTACTGTTCAAGCGTTCATTTTGGTCTGTTTTCTCTCTCAGAATAATATCATGAAAGTGTGTGAAGTGTTACCAATTCCAGCTAACTCTAATTTCTAATTCTCTAGCAGCTATTCAGAGTGCATGTTTTTCATCACTCATGTTGAAAAAAAAAGAGAAAAAAAAAATCGTGCAGAGAATGGTAACCATAAGCTAATATGTGCCTGTCGTCTACGTATTTCACTCTACCATCCTAATCTCCATTGTCTGTACCTATTCATTGTCCTGGTTTGTGTTCAGTGTTTCCTTTTTTGCCAATTTTAATTTATTATTTTGTATTCATTTGCATTCCAGATAAGATTCTCAGGAAGGAAAAAAAAAATGTTTCATAACTTGATGATTTGTACATTTGGTTTCCGACGGCTATGAACTTACTCTTGGCATTTTGAAGGTGTCTGGAATGGGTTTATATCAACAGCTGAAACCTGGTTAACAACAACTAATGCAGTCCATCATTTTACAGCCTTCAAAATAAATGTCCTCTAACTATTGCAGCAAATGAGTCTATTTTACTTGAAAGTGATTTGTTTCTGAAAAATGTGTACGTGGCCATTTGGCCTCATCTTCAACCTTCTTAAAATCTCCATTGCTTCTACACATATCAGCCTGGTTGTGAAATTACCTCCCCAGCTTCAGTCTGGGCAACACTGTCTGATATATCTGATATAAAAAAGATAACTGTTATTTTCAAGAAGCACATCTCGTTCCACTCTCACCTGTCTTCCTCCTCTATTTGCACTTGATCTTAGTCCTTTAGTCATTCAAAAATGTATACATACTGTAACACATGAATGCAGTTTTAGATGATGCGTACTGATTTGACACAGTTGACACACTTACCATGATATTGTTGCCTCGAACCTGGAATTCCTTGCTTAAGGTTTCTTGTATTCCTGGTAACATAAGAGTTATAATTTAGTACTCAGCAACTTCAACAATGCCTGGAAACTGCTAAAGGGCTGTGATGTAAACAAAAAAATACATTTTTTAAAAAGACAACTACATTCTTTATTGATTCTAGTCCAGATATTCATTAGTGTACCTGGCCATCAGTGTACAGATAGATGAGATCAAAGGCAATGGCGATGGCAAACTTCCCTGTCATGCAAAGAGCGATGGCCAGTGCCTCGATGTCCTGTAGGGTAAAGAAGTGAGCCGGACTGTCGAGGACATCATTGCTTCTTTTTCACCCTGCACATCTTACTCTGGATGAAAGCAAAGGACAAGGTAAAAATAAAATGTATCACCAACAAAGTTAGCAGTGACCTAAAAAAAATCAATGCATACTAATTACAAAAAATATGTATATTTAAAATTATCAATAACAAGCCGATCACTTTTGTTTCAGACCATCTGTATGATAATAAAACTTTTAACACAGGCTACACAATTTTAAAAGATAAGATCGTAAAAAATTACATACCATTACATACATGTACTCTAGGAATCATAGAAGGTTTCTGATATCATTCTTTGATTAAAAAAAAAAAGAAAAAAGATTGACTATTGGATTACACTTCAAACTTTGGACAAGATTTCTTTGATGTAACTCCTGAACATGACCAGCAAATGGTGTCCTCTTCCCACTTTTGCAGGAGCCCTTCTAAGTGGTATATTCTACTGATGTTGCTTTTGTAGCTCTAAAACATCTCCCCGAACTCTAAATAATTATTTCATGATGGGATAATACTAGTAGGAGTGGAAATTTGTCCAAATGGGCCGTAATTCACTGCCATTTGTTTCGTAGCCCTTGTGCCAGCCTTTTCCTGTCTTTATCACAGTGGAAGCGCTGCTACAATATACAGGATCCTGAGTGACGATACAGTATGTAACCTCGCACTTAACCTTCAAACAGCCCTCCGTGAGGTGAGTCCGTTTTCCAAAAAAATGCCCCCTCTCTAGAAGTCTAAAGTTCAATTTGGTCCTCATAAGGATAGAACTAAAACACACACACTGAAGGTTTCCAACAGTCTTCACTCCATAGTGTCCAACAACAACCACACACTATTTGGGGCAACAGTGTGGAAGTTCACATTAGCAGGCTGGCTGTTAAGGTTCAAGTGAAGTGCATTACACACACACACACACACACACACACACACACACACACACACACACCACTGCTCATGGATCTGTAGAGTTTTCTATTCCAAAAAAACAAAACAAAAAAAAAACACAAGGGGTTTGTTCATGTGCTGGGTGGTGCAGAGGGAGCTGGTATTATGACAGTTGGGACCTCCTCTCCACTGGCAAATAGGAAGCTGTTGGTGATAGAGGGCTGTTCCCAGACCTGCTCTGTTTGCCCAGTATAATAAAAATAGATTCCCTACTTTTCCAGCACCAGGTTGAACCCTCCAATTCCCCATTTTGACAGACTGAGAGAGGGAGAGAGTAGTTTTGCCTCGGTGTTGGCCATCTTGTTTATTTTTCCATAATGAAATAAAAATAATACTAACAAAACAACTTTTTATACAAAAAAAAAAAAAAATCATAATGTTGATTGTAAAACTGTTCAGAACTGAATGCTGAACCTGAGTACTGTCATCACCTGGTGATCAAATGTCATCACTGTTAGGAAACCAGTTGATTGTCATGATTTTTTGTCCTCCTTCAGATTAAAACACAACACAATGGTTTGATATGAAACAAATACATGCTAGTGCTGTACTACAATATTCAAAGCAGGTGAATACAACTCCATACTGTTGTGGTTCATTCCTGTCTTTGGTCCAAACATCTGGAGATCGCACCTTGACTCACAGTAATGCAGTATTACTCTACATACTTTTCCTTCCATATGCTCAGCATCTAGACTTCATACCCGGTATAAGCATGAAGAAAACAAGGAAACCAACTTACACACATGCACACAAATACACTCACAATAGATAACAAAGTTAAAGCTTAGCAATGGCATCTTAAACAAGATGGAATTGAGGATAATATCAAACAGTGTAAAATTCAAAAATACCTTCAAAATGATAGTTTCACAGTGATATCTAAAAGCAGATGACCTGAGATTAAAAAAAAAAAGTTGAAAAATTAAAAAGGTGACTTTAAAATCGAAAATAAGGCACTTCTCTCATATTATAAAAATACATGCTATTGTTTTGATTGTGGTAATATGTATGGGATGTATTTCAATGTAAAATAACCAAGACAAAGCCATGATCAGCACTTACCATGAGGTAACTAAATCAGAGTGCAGCATTTGGCATAATCACGATGACCTCTTTGCTTTACAGGAACTCTTATTTTTGTAGTTTCAGTCATTGGTCCTATCAATAATATAAACACTGTGCTCACCACAGTAGGCTGAAATCGGGGAAGTCCGAGAAGAAAGAAGTCCAGTGGGGAAAGAAACACTAGCAGGGAGATGATCAGATTTTAAACAAACCCTCAATTTAGACAAATTTAAAGACTTCCTGTTTAAACTTTGACTTGCTGTACTTGCCTTAGTTCTACACACAATTTTCAAGACAAAGATGGTGTCAATAAATCTTAACTGTTAGTTTACTTTCAGCCTGTCTGATTCTGACTGTTGTTGTGGCAGTGGATCTGTGTTCAACCTTTGCAATTACTTTGGTGAGTACAACATTATCATAACTAATAGGAACAATTGGCAAAACTACCAAAATAAGACTGAAGTTGTCATAAACTGAAATTATCCTTTGCTATCCTATCCTTCATGTTTCCATGGACACAGAAATTATGCAAACACACACAGACACACAGACACACAGACACAGACACAGCACACACAGACACAGACACACACACGCGGAGACACACACACACACACACACACACACACACACACACACACACACACACACACACACACACACTGAAGCCTAAACTGGTGGTCACTTTACAGAACAAAATGAGAACAATAGCATCATTTTAAGAGTTCTGATAAAAGCTTGTTTCTTTTTTCCAGACGATCCAATAAATCAATGGTGTTACTGTTTCATCATCTCCTCTCTCTTCGCTCCTTCTGTCTCATTCTGTTTTTCCTAAGCTTCTTTCGGTGTGTCTGTCCCTCTGATTTTCCAGCAGTGTGCAGCTCAGGCCTTGACATCATGTTGGTTCATCTCCAACCCATCCTGTTTTTTGCGTCCCAGAGCCTCTGCCTCCTCCAAGGTGGTTGTTAGAGGTTTGCCCAGGGTCTCAGGCAACAGCAATGTCAGCACTCCGATAATGAATGCCAGGATTCCCACGATGAGCTGCACAGGGGTCATGATGAAAGGAAAAAAAAAAGAAGAATTTGCTAGAATTTACTCTCTTACCCTTGTAGGTAAACTATGATAAATATGAACAGGGTACTAAGGTGACAGAATGGACAAGGTGAAAACAGGTAATTAAACATTAAAAATCTGTTGTTCTGCAAGAACCAGCCAAAAGAAACCATGTATACCTGAGGCAGATAGACCCAGACATCAGCCAGGTACACACAGAAGGGGGCCACCACACTGCCAACACGGCACATCATACTGCCACTACCTACTGCCAGAGACCTGGAGGGAGATCATGCACAAGGTCAGCAACATTAGAGAAGACAGATTCACTGACATCAGGGTACAGACACAAGGCCTACCACCACCAAAATAGAGAAAAATCTATTACTGCAAACTCTCTGAACAGTAACATTACACTTTGTTTCTTAACTTTGCTGTTTCTTTACACATGGAAAGACACTAAACAACTTTAATGTGCCCATAATGATATCCTGTGGACGGGGGTAGACTCATACAAAAACACATACAATGTTGATGACACTCTTGACTCGTCCTTCCTGTTTGTACTCAGCCACTTAAATAATGCTTAGAAACTGAGCACTAAGAAGAAGGTAAACAAAACTACTTTAAAAATATATATCAAATTATCCTGTAGTGTGTGTTGGCAGGAATTTTACATTAAAGCTCGGGGAAACAAGCTAACTATTTGTCAGTACGACACCAGCTTTAACAGGCTAGTGGTGGTTAAAACATCTATAGAATGACAAATTGCAAACTGATTCTAGGCCAGATATTCTATGTCTCTGGGATCTGTATGTGTTTTGATTCAGTTTGTTCTTACCTGATGATGGTTGGATAAAGCTCACAGGTGTACAGATAGATGAGACCAAAGGCAATGGCGATGGCAAACTTCCCTGTCATACAAAGAGCGATGGCCAGTGCCTCGATGTCCTGTGGAAAAGGGGTGGAGGGGTGAGAAGTGAGCTCAACAGTCATGGACATCATTTTGCCCAGAAGGGCAACATGTGATATTACAGCCAACGTCATCAACACTTGACCTTTGACCTTAAGACTTTTCATCAGACCACTGACTCTGTTAATAGTCAAGCTTTAAACACGAGACTCTTACAGCCCTCCATGGATGGGTGAAGTGAAGTTCATGCTGACTCAATTCTGCTCGATTACATTTTCTAATAAACTGATCTAATAAAGCGAAGGGATGATTGCTCCCTCAGTCACTCACTTTTAATTTACCTCATTATTAAACTTGGCATGGGAACTACTTAAACAAAACTATTTCTATTCATGGCACTGTAGATATAGATATGATACTGAGTGTTTTATATTTGCACATACATGTCTTTCATATGTGAATGTGTGTTTGTCATGTGTTTCAATGGTACACAGACAAAAAAAAAAAGAAAAAGCTGTTCTTGGAAAGTGAGCGGTGATCTAAGGAGCTACTACGGCTTCTCTTACCAACACCTGGAGAACTACAACTGAGTCTGCTGCTGTGATGCAATAGATACAGACACCAACACTCGGCCCAGACTGTCAATGCTAAAGATACACAGAGACAGGAGGGAGGCTGTGTGAGGTGATCCAATCCACATCAGCTATTTTTAAACTGCTGGCCTGAAACCACCAAGCTTTATTTTAGGGTGCTCTGAAAGGGAAGGTCTTTGTTACTTAGCCCTGTAATTTATGAATTTGTTTATTAAATATTTTTGCTGTTAATCACTCACTGCTATGGTGTGTTCGCATGGTAGTAAAAGTATGTAGCCCCATGTGAATATATGACACACACAGGGCTGTTTGCGTGGCAAAAAAGAAATGTTTTCTTTGCCCCTCTGAATCATGTCCAGATGCCAGATTTGGCAGAAAGCTATGTCATGTGTCACCAGAGTGTAGTGCTTAGTAAAACTTACAGTGGTTACATTTGGACAAAATACAGACAGGGAACAAGTTAAGCCACTGAAATAAGTATAAATGTTTGGCTTTAGAGCGCAATTATTGTCACTCCCTAACTAATACAGTGCAGTGTCAGTATTTAGACAAACACAGCATTCAAAAGTAAAAGCACTCAGAGTAGCCATGATAAAAAAAAAAAAACACACTTTCTAAAGTATCAGACACAGACTGAAGATTTGACTGCTAGAGTTAGAAACACCAGCATTACAAATCTTCAGAATGTTTAAGAAAACTACTTAACAAGTATGTAAAGAAAACCCTAAGCCCAGAACAGAAGAGCACATCGTGCAAAGATCCACAGAGGGACCAACAGAATCTGAAGATTTCATTAACTTTGGACAGAAGCTAGCTAGTTGTTTCAGTGTTTCTAGTCTTTATGCTAAGCTAAGCTAAGCCTATGCTGGCTGTAGCTTAATATTTACTGTACAGACTTGAGTGTGTGTTGTATGTAAATCCTGTCACTAAGAAACTGTCACCAAATCAAGTTCTTGTACAGTATACTTATACAGTATACTACTTCTACTCCTCTTCTCTCATACATTAGAGACCATGACATGTTTACCAAGGTAAGATATACAGTATAGGTCAATGTAGTTTACCAAAGAAAGTTACAGACACTCTGGTATGTGTGTTAAGTCAGCAGAGGGAGTTCACTAGATTGTGTTTCTCTGTGGAGGCCTGCAGAAGATACTACAGTGACACAATCAAAGAAAAAAAGAAAGATGCTGTTTCCACTGTCTGCGTGCGCTTGTTTTTGACGTCACACTTGTTGACTGCTCTATTCAGAAAGGCTTTCAAGGTCAAAGGTCATATTTACTTGGACATTAAGTACCAGCTGTTAGCCAACCCAGCCATAAGCAGTACTAATTTGGGTCATAGCTCAAAACACACACACACACACACACACACACACAGACACACACACACACACACACACACACACACACACACACACACACACACACACACACAGGGAGCTGAGTGTGTCATATATCAGAGCTCAACAGTGAAAGTGGTCCAACTGCCCGGGGCAACGTCAGGACAGGACAATAAACTCCAGACAGATTGTGCCACTGCAGAAAATACTTAAGAAATATTACAGTAAGCCTTCTCTCTTTCTGTTTCTGGCTTTCCCCTGAAAGACCTTGTTGACACTGGAGTCACTGGCCTTGTTCTGACCTGGCATTAACCTGCATGGTCTGACCACAAGTTGACAGCTCTAAGCACTTGAGTTCACACCTAGCACCAGAATACGTCTTCACATGCATCTCTAGTGACAGATTGTGATCGGGTTTCAGTTCCCTGCTTTATATGCAAATACAGATGTATGCATTGTTGTTTTTAGCCAATGTGATTATGACAGACATGTCTGTTATCAGTGTGTATGTGTGTGTGAGAGAGAGAGAGAGAGAAAAAGAGAGAGAGAAAGAGAGAGCGCGGAACAAGGAGGGGTTAAGTGAATCATTGCAATGCACACAGCTCTACAATAAACAAGCTTGTAGTCATTTGAAACATTTTTGTGTCATTATGTGTTGGGACTAACTAGACTGTGGCAGAAGACGTCAGTTGAGTAGGCGGTCCTTCAATGTGGCCAAGGGCGCCTTTGTGTTCACACAATGTTTGAGTGATTGGATCTCAAATGCGTCCTCAATGCATCTGAGGAGCGTTCACACCTGTACTGGGTTAGTACAGCTGTCCACTTGTGATTGGATCCCCCGAGATACATTTTAATGCCAGGTCTGAACAGTGCCACTGTCACATGTGTAACGCTCCAAATGCCGTGAAACATCAGGATTTGACAAAAGTGGAAGTGATAGCACTTACTGTGAGAAAGTACAGAACATTCTTTGAATGAAAATTGGCCTGCATTGATTATGACACGAAGATTTGTGTGGTGTCTGGCTAGTTCCTCTAAATTTGGGGTCATATAGGTGCAAAAGTTTGTGACCGAATTTTTGTTACTCATATCTATGACTATTTTTATGGAGCCACTAAAAATTTTGCTGACACCAGTAGTTTTATAATCCCAGAGCAATAACAGTGTTGACTGCATCTATGGCTGCAACAAAGGAGGACAACATGAATTATACCAACACTTAAATTTCTGAAACATATACATATACTGTCTCTCTCTCTCCCACACACACACACACACACACACACACACACACACACACACACACACACACACACACACACACAGTCTTTGCACGTACAGCAGGCACCACAATGATGAGCATACAAGCCACCCCGGCTAGTAGCAGAGCTGGGGCACAAGTCTTCTTCCTTCCAATCCGGTCCATTGCAAAACAGCCAACCAGATACGAGGGGAGCTCCACTGCGCCTGGAAACAACCAATCACAGCAGCTCTCAGTCTGAGGTTATCATGGCCATGACACACTGACACTGTGACATTCTATCCAGGGGACCTAAATAACTAGTTTCTGAAATGTTGGCAAAGATCAGCTTCCTAAATGTGCTCTACTGTAAGTCTCCAAAGGAATTAAGTGGGGATTATAAATGTTCCTACTGGATGTTAAAGGAAGCACATAATCAGCATTTTCTGTTATGTGTAAAGAGAAAGGAAGACAAAGTAAACCTAATGCAAACACTGGAACAAGCATATCTTCTGCTGAACAGCTAAAATTTAATTCCCAGACATTAATAGTACCAAATGGGGTATTTATGATGTACATTTGTGAAAATAATAATTCACTATATATTAGCATTAGCATATATCAGCATTGCATGAGCAGTACATCGGTTTTAGATTTGTTTAACAACAAAAATGTTTATTACAGTACAAATCTTATTTTCTTAATTAGATAAAAAAGCAACAGCAAAACTGTTTAGTTGGGGCTGTAGTTGTGGTTTGCTGCATTTCTGTTGGAAACAGAGCAGTAAGCCACAGTGGTGAACAGCAAAGAATCTTACTGCCTTCTCAATGACAAAATATTCTCCTAGGTGATATACGGCCTGGGATGAACATGATATTTGATAGTGTGCAGAACTATGGCTAAGACAGTCTTATTAGTATTCTGCCCCATTTGATAAACAGGGCTGAACTAAGCTCAGGGCTAATAGCCTTATTTGTTTACATGGGAAAAGGCTGATCTGTTATTAGATTTCCATTTAAAATCCAAAGAGGTTCAGCAGTTGACGACAGTTCACAAACACAAAGGTATCTACATTCGAATGACTGAAGCAGGACGTGTTATAGTTTCGTAATAGCATTACCTCCCCATTAGCCAATCACTTACCAGCAAGGAAGAGGTTAATGTATTGGTTTCCACCTAGGTTGACTGAGCCTAAAGAGAAGACATAGTAGCCCAAGCTGCCGATGAACCAGATGGCCCACACTGTGCATGTGCGGCCCGCCATCCTCCAGCTTCCAAACAGATCCAGGATGGACAGCTTCTTTTCAATCTGCGATGGCCGCTCCTCTGCCTCCTTCTCCAGCAGAGCTCTGCCATTCTCTCTCTCCTCTGGCTCCAGGAGATCCTCTGCCTTCAGCCTGCACTCAAGGCCATTGAAGCGGGCAATCGCATCCAGCAGGGTCTGAGTGTCCTTGTAACGGCCCTTGGCCATCAAGTAAAAGGGCGTCTCCGGGAACTTCCAGCAGAAGAACAAGAAGGGCGAGGTGCATATGGAGAGGATGATCTGGTAGATCCACCAGACCCGCACCAGGTAACCGGTCAGAGCCACCACCATGATGCCGACTGCAAAGGCCGCGTGAACGTGCATAGAGGTCCATGTGCGTACCTTGATGCCAGTGAATTCGGTAACGTAGACAAACACCACCACGAGGTAGCCACTGGACACCTGCCATGAGCAAAGCAGGGAAGGAGGACAGTGAAATGTTGAACTAAATTTATGGGCACTTGGTGTCAGTATTGTTACCAAAGAATGCATAGTGTTAAGTTTTTAATTTGAAATGGCATTTGTTATTTTTTTAGGCCATATATTCAGCAGTTGCAACTTTTACTTAACAGCAACAACTGCGGTCACAAGAATGTAAGAGTAGCACAAGTAAAAAGGAATTATAAAATCAGTTACACAGCTACATATGAAAATATAAAGTTTGCAAACATAAGCCACCGTAAGCTGCTAGTCATAATCAGACCAACTCAGACTGTAGCAGAAAAATTGAATGCGTTGAAGTGAGAAAGGATGAATTTTCTCACATATTAATTCAACTCTTTATTTGTTAAAGAAACAGTGTGGCTTTTTATCTTTTTAAACAAAGCTGAAATGGGGATTGTTACATTCTCGTTTTGTTTTTTACTAAACCAACTATTTGTCATTTGCATATACAGTACCATAATCACAGGACGATTTATATTCACAGCAGCGATATGTTTATATATCTGCAACTTAAAGGTAAATATGTTTAATTCTGTTTATTTAGCCAGATCTCTAAAAGAGAAATATTTCAATTATAGTGTAATAAATATGTCAGTAAGCTGTCCCTGCTTATAAGACAGAATATGCACTGTGTGTAGTGTGGCTGAGCAGTATGGGCCTACACTGTCTGAGAGTCTGACTCTGTGAAAAACAACAGCTGTAGCTGAGGAGGGCTGGGGGGGGGGATGGTAGAAGACGTCGAGGAGTGAAACAGAGGGCAGACTGTAGGGGCTCTTTCAGCACAACTTTACTGCCATGTGGGCTTGTAACCGTAATGACTCCCTTCCTTTCCCTTGTAAACATGTTCTTTTATGCACATAAAATCACACAAACACACATTTGACTATACAAAGACACACTGAGGGCACCGATTTTGTCTCTGCTGCTTTACTGCCGTGTATCCCTCATATTCCATATGATTTTTTTACTTTGGATATGGTATTTTTTTTTTTTTAAACTGATGCACCAACTAAGCTTTACCAGGACACAGGATCTGATTTAATTTGTAAGACGTATTCTGATGTTCATATTTTAGGTATTTTCCTAAAGTCCTGAGCAAGAACGTCAACTCAATTCATATGTAAATGTCATATTTATAAATACGCAGATATCTATGCATGGCATGCAGAAAAACAGATCCTCCCCTTAACATCTATATCAATTTCTTTTTTCTCTCATTTCTGCTACTTTCATGCATATGGATGTAAATGGGTTCTCAAAACTATTACCACATGATAAGACTATTCTATTAATTTATTTGCCAAGTAAATTCTTCTATCACAAACTACGCCCAGTAAGAGGACAGAAAAACATTATACATACAGTTAAAGTTACACAGTTATATTTACTTATATTCATATTATACACAGCTGGAGCAAACATTGTGGCTTAGCTTGTATGTTGGCTTGACTGCAAAATGACTAACAGGAGGCGGCTCTTAATATATTCACAGAGAACATTAGCAACTGGCTGAGAGATTGTTTTGCAGAGGAACTTCCAGAAATCGGATACATAGTGAACCTGAAGAAGAATGTTCCTTTACAAGGAAAAGGTAGAAGGTAAGGGCACCTCCCTTGTCCCATGTTAACTTTTGCAAAAAGTCCAGAATGCATGCATTCATAAGAAACTTCTTTCAAAATGATAACATTTAAACACTGACATTAGGGTTTTGAAAAAATTTCTCAAAATGCGCTTCTACACTGGATTGCCTTTACAAGCTAAAGTGCCTGGAACTGCATTGGATTTCATATCGTAGTGAGGCCACTATCCTAATCCACGCTACTTAAGTTGCCATTCCCTCAATGGCGCCATCCATGGTAGAAAAGAAAACAGGCATACAAAAACACACAACCATACACAGTACAGAAGTGCACATACATGTGTGCACACGTTGAACTCACCATGGCAAGGAGGAAGCGAAGCACCACAAAAAAATAGTAGTTTCCAGAGAACGCTACGGCCACCCCGAGCCCAAACTGACAGAGGCTGGTGATCATCAGAATCCTCACACGACCAACTCTGGAGGAGAGAGAAACATACAGGTGAGAGGAAGGGAGAGGAAAACAGGGTGAGAGAGAGAGAGAGATAAATGGACAGAGGGACAGAGGAAAAAGTAATTGAGTTAATACAGTATGCTCAGGTAAAAAACAGGGAATCATTAAGTTGCAAACAGTTTGGTCAAATTCTGCAACGAGTATGATACAGGTTTGGATAAAGAAAGGTGATCCAGTTCTAAGACAAGTGAGGTTCTGCTTCAAGGTGTGTTAGCTGCAGCGCTACAAATGATGATTATTTTCATTACCAATCAATCTGCCAATTATTTTCTCAATTAATCAATGCCCATTAACATATCGTAGAGCAATGAAATGAACCAACAGACTGAAAATATTCAGTTTACAACAATGTAAGACTAAAAAAGTTCTTATTTGAGAACCTGAAACAATCAAATATTTGATGTTTTTGCTGTGATGAAGGCAATGTAGTAAAGTAATATAAACTTATTTTCTGTGGTTCCACTTACAAGGTCAAACTGGTGGAACAATCATGATGCTCACCGTCTAAGTTTGAGTAAATGACGCTTCATTTCATATCTTGCAGCTCTGTGTCACTTACACCTGTACAACATCTAACCTAAATATTATCCAATTCTGTACAAACCATCATTTTTGCTTTTAATAAGGGAGAGATGCTCCACATCCCCTTTGGGTGCTCAGTGTAATTCATTGGCAGGCAGTCATCGAGGTCATGGTTATCCACGACAGGTTGAATCACGGGCAACTGTACTTGGTTGTAGACCAACTGCTCTTGGATCAACGCCAGCAAAACTTGACCTCACAATGTGAGCCATAGTTACCGGACAGTGCCCACACCAGTGTAAGTGCATAGATAAAAAGCATAAAAATAATGATTAAACCATCCAAAATAACCACTGCCATAAGCATTTAATTCTAACCTCCTCTGTCTGAACTGTGAGCGGGATCCATAATAAGAGATAGTTGGACAGACATCAAAGCAAGTGCCCCGTCGACTCTGACCTCATCAGGCAAAAGTCCTACTTCTAAATGCTGACCACCTAAGTTCCGTTCTAGCCCAGCAGCTGGCTGTTGTGTGGCCAGGTCACCAGATCTGCCTGATGACACCTGATGTTCTTTTTCCACTCGCATCTCTTCTTCCTTTCCTTTCTTTCTCCGATCATTCACATCTACCATCCACTTTTCCTGTCACTCTCACCTTCCTTTTCCTACACCTCCACGCCTATGAGGCAACCGCGGGTGTGCACTCAGTCCTTCGCTCACATACCCGTCACTGAGCATGAGAGAGGACAGTGTCATGTTTAATGCTGAGGTAGAAGTGCAGACGTGTCTCCTGAATTTATGACTGCATGTGTACAGGATTAAAAAGGCAGCCTCTCAACCTGCACGCTCCTTTCAATGCACACATGAAAAACAACTTCCTTATATGGTGGAAAAATGTGTCTCACATGATATAATTTAACTTTTAAGTTTCCTCCGCCTTCTTCTCCACCCTTCAGTCCTTGCTTACCTGTCAGCAATGTCCCCAAACAACAGCGCTCCGATCAGCACCCCCAACATGAAGGTGGGCTGGCACAGTTTGGCCAGCCACTCTTTCTCACATACCAAGTCCCAGTCCGTCACTATACTTTGCTGAACTTCAGAGCGGTCGTAAACAAAGTTTCCAACACAGGCTTTCACTGTTTTGTTGCCGTCAAAGTCATATGTAAACCCTTTGGGATCGATGCGCAGGGCGCAGCGGCACCGGCTTAGCTCCCACTGCTCTCCCTCAGACGTCCTCACCACCAAGGGCCCAGTCCCTGATTTGAAGACGGGCAGGATGTCTTCCAGACTTGATACTGTCAGGTTACCATACAGGATGTCAGTGATGTTGCCGGGCACACTGCACACAAAGTTTGGAGTCTCCACCAGGAAAACAGAGGCCAGGTAGTGGATCCCACAGGCTACGGCCTGGAAAACTGCTGCAAAATATAGACATGCCTGAAATCTGGAGAGAAAGAAAATACATTTAAAATATGCTATATATATATATATAGAATACATGTGTTGTATGGCATTTGGATTGTAATAATTGCATTAATTGTAATTGTAATACAACAACAACAAAAAACAATGCATATCAAAGATGCCATTAGATTTTATATAATTCTTAGACAGGTTGGAGTGTGCTGTGAGCATGTGAAATTATCTCATCCCTTTATTACCTCCTTATGTATTGACACATCTGTTGGTTTGTTTGTTTGTCAGAAGGATTAGGCTAAACAAAAAGTACAGAACCAATTTGCACCAAACTTGGTGGAGGGATGGGGCATGGTTCAGGGACCAACCCATTAAATTTAGGTGTGAAACCAATTAAAGGGGTGGAGCCATGAATTTCTATTTAAAATCACTTTCCTTAACATTATCGGATTGGACATTTTTCAACAATTTCCTTTAGGTTGGCCTTGGCGGAGGTACGAGTGTCATTCTAGTTTTTAAAATACATGGTCTTGCACGGAAATGTAAAATGCAACTTTATATAAACCACATGGTCGAGAAAAACGTGGTGGTGGGAACGATCATATTTTGTTACACTTACAAAAGACCAAACAAATTCATTCAATATGTGCTTTCATAAATCACTGTGAGAAAACCTAACTAATGAAGAAATTAAAAGAATTCAATGAGAATTCAAGAATTTCCATGACTTTAAAGTGGGAAGATAGGTTTGGGAGGCAAACCCAACACAGCAAAGCCCACATTCTGGCATTTGTAACTTTGCAGCAGATTTAAAATATGAGAAAATTATATTTATCTTGCACATCAAAAAAAGAACATCTTTTTTTTTTTATCTAGCCTACTTTTCACTGTCGTCCCACAGTGAAGCATTTTGTGATAATGAAAGCATCCAAAAGTAACTTTTGCGCACAACTAATGAAATGTAAATGGTAAAAAACCTCTTGTTGTTAGAAGCATTTGTTTTAAAAATGGCATAACTGAAGTTATAAAAATAACTTCAGTCGTTCAGCGGTTACTGGTCAAAAGCTACACTAACTGGTTATTGATGATACCATAAAAAATACCCCCGAACCCCCGAAAGAGGAAATGTACAAACTTCCTAAGTCTGGAGAATAGTAGAAACGCTCTCTTACCTCTTGAAATGTCCGAGCTCGTCGAATATTCTTTCTACGCTCATTTTCTGACGGCGGCTCTGAGCGTCTCTCTCCCCGGCGACCAGCGGATTCTGAAGTCATAAACTGAGGCTTTTCACGGAGCCGAGTGAGGGTAGGAGGGGCGCACACACTCACATACACGTCTACACACACACGCACACACGCACGCACACAGACACACACAGACACACACACACACACGCGCGCGCGCGCTTTCAAACGCGAAATCAGGGGTGGAAAACTAGCCGCTTTGACTGGAGACGATGATGTTTTGGAAAGTTTCTTCTGCTTGTTGTATCCTCTCTGATGGGTTCACTTGTATTCTATAGCCTTTTAGATCAAGGTATAGACTTCATTGATCAGGCCTTTAATGTTCTCTGACAGGAACTGGCCCCTTCTGGTCATGATGAATGTGCCCTTGATTATATCAGTATATTGATTTTATCATTGGGCCTATATCTTTCTCATACAATGAAGTGGGTTCCTAAGTGAAAGCCAGGTTAGTATGATTAAAGACAAAGCATAAAGTCACTTTTGAAAACCTGATCACTTCACAAACATTTTTTGTGGATAAACTCATATATCACCTAAGCACAGCCTGAAGAGCTCCTAAGTGATGTGGACAGGATCAGTCTGGAAGCAGGGCTGTTTACTCCTTTGTAAATAGACCCCCTCTGCATAACATCCTGCAAGTGTAAGACTAGGCCTCTGACATCATGGAGCCATATTTCATCTGACATGTTACCCCCGTCAGGGTCAACCTTTTCAAAAACAAGTGAAACAAAAGCGCCTGGTGTCTGCCACTTAAGCGTAGTGGTAATGAGCTGCTGAGTTCATAATCATCCCAAGGTCATGGTTAAGATTTCTGAACAGTGAACCATGTGGCTCAAAGTCTGAATGCAGCTGCTACTCTTTCCATCAGTGCTGTTTTCCGATAGTTAATGTTAGTTCTGTTGATCAACTTAATCAATTAATTGATTAATCATTTCAGCTCTACTGAAATGCTAGACCTGAGTTCGTGTGTGTTTGCACCTCTGTGTGCCAGTAGGGCAGTATGAGCATTTGTCTTCCAAGGTAAATCAGACCTTTCCTGACCATTAAAACCACACAGGTTTAGTTCAAATCTGTAGTATAACATTCATCTGTCTATGTGTGCATCAAATTAAAAATGTGTCAGATTGCATTTAAATCCGTGCAAGTGTGCATGCATTTATGTTTAGTTTAAAGGTTTTAGCTGGCGCCCTCCTCAATTTCGCTTCCAATGTTCATACACTCACACAGAAACTGCATAGGTTTGTCTTTGAGATTTTGTTTTCTTTTAAATAGAAAATAACCCACAAAATGAAAACCGTATTAGAAACAAGTGCCATAAATTATAAATACAATATAAATAAGGCATTGCACAAAATAAAATATCAAAGAAACCAATGAAGACATTAAAAATGATTGCACAAACAAAAGATATTAACAGCAAATGCAATATGCATAATGTAGCTGCATAATGTGTTCTCCAGCACACATGTTGTCTGGTGCCGACAATCCGCTAGTGTCTCGCTTTCATATTGAGTCGATCCAGTCGTCTGTGTTCATGTCTGCATAGTGTTACATGGTTTTTGTCTCTATTTGGTGGGTTTATCTAGTACTGACACAGATTTACTAAACTCAGTGAAACAGCTGTATTCACAGTGTGTCTATATGTATTTTACATATCAGATATGTTTGAATTTTATTATTATGTGTGTTTAGAACTTTTTATTTAGGGTTGGGGTGGAAAATTTTGAGATTGAGATTTCACTGAGAAATGCCTCTACTAAAATCTCTCTAGTTTTGCGCTGCTTCACTATCAATATCAATTTTGAGACACGTAATGTTCAGATGTTGTAGTGTGGTATGGTAGAGGTTTTGGGCTGGCCCTCCATAATTACAAAGGGATATTCACTCTGAAAGTGTAGTTTTTGTTAGGCGAAAACAAAAGTGTTCATTAATGCTGTGTGCCATCTTTATTTACTCATAGCCAGTGACATCTAGGCTGATGCTTACACCTCTTGATGTATCTCACAAGTGCTACCTTTCTTTTGACAGATTAAGAAGATTGAAGGTTATACATGTAGACATCAGCCTAGATGTTACTGGCTAGGAGTAAATGAAGATGGCACGCAGCGTAAATGAACAATTTCATTTCAGTTTAGTAACTCTGTGTGAGTATTACAAGCAACTCTAGCTATTTATTGATTAGCAAACCACGTTACTAACACTCTGCTCCAACAACAACCGTAACTATGGTAACTACCAAATTCAATAGACTACTCATTTCATCACGTTACTGTACCTCTGTCTTTTGCCCGTTTTTCCTCCTCTCTCTTTCTTCAACAACAACGTCTTTTCCAGGGTCACGGGCCTATGCCACGGGCAGGCGCTGTTCAATGCTGCAGCGAAGACTAGAAAAAGCCCCCCCCCCCAAAAAAAACAATAAAACAAAAAAACAAAACAAAACAAAAAAACAACCTCTTTGTGTTTCTGTTTCAGCAAGTGTTTCTATTGGAGCCTTTGATTAATGATTGATAATCTAAAGTACCTGTGGCTGTATTGACTTACTGCGACTTGCCTTCACCGGATTCATAACTATGACAGTGTTTGCTTTTGCCATCACACTGACTTGCCATCTGCTCCACTTGCTCAGACGGGAAATCATCAAACGGGAGAAGTGTTATTGAAATAGGTAGCCTAATTTACGCAAACTGACAGTGACAATTCATAAACGGTGTGTAACCTTGAAATTAACAGCATTGCAATATCATCAGCAAAACCTATTATTGATGAGACGCAGGTTTGATAACCATAAACAAAAGCAGCTGAGTGGAACATCAGTCTCTTCTGTCCTCACTACATTTTTACAATCTGGGCTGGGATTTTGATTTATGCAGAAAATAGATATTTTTGCCATAAATCAGAGGGTGGAAGTGGAAGTAAAGTCTTCCACATGAACGCAAGACTGTAGTGCTATAAGGCCACACTGTAAAGTTGTATTCGTTTTGGTAAATATACTTTTATAGCTTATACATTATAAATTATTCCTTATGATATATAGACTAGCATGCAATTTTAGCTATTTAGGAGAACAAAATGTGTGCTTTTGACACTGGCTGGAGATTGATCCACTTTTTGGAGGGCTGTGTTGCTGACTAACCTCTTTCTCTCTCCTCCCACTGACCTGTCAGCTTTTATTTGCTATCCACCTCCTTACGTGCTTTCAAAGATATTGAGGGGGAGCTGATAAAACTTTCTGGCATGTGGTCATTAAGGATAAAAGGCGTTTATCTTTGTTGAGTGGTGAATGGTTGTTTTTGTACATGTCCTGTTATGTTCTGTTTTGTACTGCTGTTTGTTGAAGGTGTGGGAGAAAGACAGATTTGCTTTATGACCTTAGATACTCTTATTAAGTCTGGAGTTACTGAATCAATCTGTGTTTTACTTGTGCTTTTGGATTTTAAGTTTTAAGTTTCTCTTGTTTGTGATCTGACCACAGTGACAGTGGACAAAAGTGTCAGTGCGGATTACTCTGGGGTTTGAGTGTGGCCACAGGCAAAAGCAAACACATTCTGACCTTCACCTACTCCTGTCACAACTGGCTGCTTCTCACCGAGCGAGGCTTCGATAAGTTTACCCAGGTTTCAACCAGAAAAAAAAAGGTCTTTATTTTCCTTTGCATGCTAAACTATTTCAGTCCAGTTTAGTCTAGTTCTCCCTGCTGTGTTGTGAAACCTGCAGACACCACAGCACATGTGACAGAGGAGTTGCTGTTTGTTTACTAGATAGCATCAAGTTCATCCCACCTGCAAGAAACCTGCTCTCTAAAGCTAAAAAATATTTTTCTAATCTGTAAACCTCACCCCATCTTTTCATAGCCTATCATAACAAGTACCAGTTCTTTGTTTGTCTGTCTTTTCTTCTTGTAGTTGAGGTGTTGATTGTCTTGTTCCTCTGTCCTCCACTCCTTATTCCCAGGTGGCTCAATTTACATTTTCTCCTCAGCCTCTAAAACCTGTATTTTCTACTGAGTATTGGTATCAACAGGTGGTCAAGCCAAGCTATGTACTGTATATAAATAGTTTTCAAAAACAGTGTGTGTAATCTGCTGCTGAGACATTGCTTCTGTGACATTGCCTCTGTTTGACTGAATGATTTCAGACATATTATGTCATAGTAAAGATTTTTCTGCCAAAACAATCAATATTTTTTGTCATCAAAATCTAACAGAAGCTAACTCCCAATGCCTTTATCTGTTGAGTTAACAGTCGGCCTCTGTATGACCATGTTTGACCTTTCCACTGATTGATCACAGAGGAGAGGAGAGGAGAGGAGAGGAGAGGAGGAGAGGAGAGACGCAAACTTACAAAAACGCATTCCATGAAGCAGCAGATTTTGGGCAGATCCCTACAAATCATTGCAATATGTGTAATGCCATCTACAGAGAGAAAAACATTTCCTGTGGTCAGTCTGAAAAAGCCTCAACAGAAAGCGTGTTTCTCAAACTTTGATCTGAAATGTGTAGCCACAAAGGCACATAAACGATTATAAGTAAAGAGTCATACATAATCAGCTACAGGCACACATAGTCACACAACATACATGAACATGTGTACAAATACACAAAGAATCTGAGCTACTTTCAAATGTATCGTGCCTCACTTCATGTAATAACTTCTACAGGAATCTAAAGTCAGTCTAACAGGGGTGCATTCTTTCCCCATTCTCTCATTGCTTTCAGCACCATTATCAGTTACATTACCAGTTGGCCTACATCACTTCAGACATTCACAGACTTAAAGTGACTTCTAATCCAATCCATATGGTCTTAAATGTTCATGACAGACCACTTGGTGGCAGTAGAGATTGTCAGTGCCATATCTCTTCACATCTGTTTCCCAAACCTCACTGATGTAGAGTTTTTCTGTTCTTTCTTTGTCATTTTCTGACCTTCTTAACTAGACGGTCACTAAATTAATGTCATTTTCTTACATTGCAAGAAAAACTTCTAATTCCAGAAATGTGAACTAAATATACCTTTAAATGTTTTGATTTTCCCTTAGGACTAATAGCACTGGTCTTATCAAGTTTTTATTCTAATTACTGCAATTTACCATTTACCACCATATTATTCCTTCAGTGTCTATAAAACCGTATAACCGTTTTAAACCTGTCACATGTTACTTTACACACAAAGCAAAGCCAGTGTGTGTGTGTTAATGCTGGTCTGCTGTCCATAATATGCCCTTCAAAATATAGCTTACCCCGTCACTATGTCTCTCTCCAGCCAAGTCTACTTTCACAAATATATACTGTATGTATGTTGTTATATACTGTATGTTTATCGTCCTCAGAGGACAACTTGATTGACCGATCACATCATTTCATTCAGTATTATTTCTAGTACAAAGGGGGCAGTAGAGAGCTAATTATAAACTATCCAAATACAAAAGTTTGTCATTGTATCCAAAGAGCTTAAAGAAGGCAGCTTTATCATTGTCCTGCATTCATTTTTTAGATATAGTTATATGAGAATGTTATGTGAAGCTAGACAAATCCTACACTGTGAATCCCAATCCATCTGTGATACACAAATGTTAAGGACTGATAAAATTAAATGAAACATACAACCTTTATGTTCACTTGACACAAACACCTATCCTTTGTAAGCTTGACATAATTGTTTTATGATAGGTCAACAATTTTTGATTTTTGAGTTAATTTTGCCTAAATTTATAAAGTCAATATAGCCTAATTAGTTCAAGACTTAGCTTATATTTTTGATAGTTGAATTAACTCAAAAATGTTTGTAAAAGTATGCACGAAATGTTTTTATGTTCATATCACCAGAAGTCAATTTCTTGCACCAAGCAAGCTGCCAGGCATAAATTTCCAGTCAGGCAGAGGTCATGATACGTGATATAATTATTTTGTGTCAATAAACATTTAAATTGAGTAAGCGAATTAGGATTTACAGTGTAATTTCCATTTAAGTGAAACTGAGTGAGGATTTTCTTTGTCCAAAAACAATCCGCTTTGGCAGTCCAGATAAATGGCGTCTCCTCTTTTAGTCTAAAATATCAGTAGCATATTCAATAAATGAGTGCACAAGAAGGGGCTCTGATTATTAATTTGTTCATAAACAAAAGCGGATTTAGTGTTCTTTGGAGGGACATCAATGACAAAGTTAATGAAGTGACTTGAGAAGAGAGTGTTAGCTTACAAATACATTTTTTTTTTAAATTACTGGCAGAAAGAATTAAGGCACAGAAGTTAGTTTCAGCATGTTGCAAGAGATTTCAAGGCCACACTGAATAGTAACAGGCAATTAAGAGATTTATTCAGTGCTGGAAGATACACCTGAGCATGAAGACTAAGTTAAAGAAATTGTGCTCGGATTACTGGTTTCTGCAAAAACTGAAGCTTAACTGTGTTGCTGTCTTGAATTTGTATTAAGAAGTAGTTCAAGTAGTATTAAGAGATGGAAAGGGCGAAAATGGATGCAGAATGCAAAACCTAAGCAGTGAAAAAAGTTTAAAATGTGAGTCATATTGTGAATGAGGTGAAATATACAGAGAAAGAATGAGCTAACCAGCCAGGGAGCAAGCTAGCCGCCTCCCACTGCAGCTAGCTTGTTCCTAAGAGGCTCTGCGCCTGGTGTTATGCCTAATTCTAGATTCTAATTTAGTGGCAAATACGACCACATTACAATAGTTTAAGTAGTGGTATCCAGCTCCAGAATCCTGCATGCGCCCCTGTCTACTAGCAGGGGTAAGTATGGGCTCAGTTTAGGGTCAAAATGATTTTGAGCTTGTAAAGTGATGTCCACAAACAGGAGTGGGCGATCTTACTTAGGCATATGTATATGCCTATATTCAGACATTTAATTTTAAAGTTCAATCACTGCTCATCGCTGTCAACTGTTAAACAGCTAGCCAGCTAACTGCAGCTGGCGACGGCAGTCCTTGCTCTGCCTCCTCAAGCTTGTTGTAGCAGCACATGTACCAGTTCTGCACCTGAGCAGAACAACAACCACCTGCAGTCATGCAGTCCATGACGCTGGATTTATAGTCCACACACGGGACGAGAGATCTGCCTGCCCTAATAGCTAATAAAACATTTGCAGCAAAGAAAAATTTAATTTGAGCATGAGTGTAAGTTCATATTATGTGCTTAAGTCCAGACAGAGTGACAGAGTTAACTGTATGCAGATGCTGAGAGAGAACTGCATGGGCCCTTGTAACAGCAGGCCCTGCCCATATCTAGAGTTACACAGTAACCCGAGAGTCTGTGGGGCGGGAGAGGCAACTGGAGGGAGGAGGCAAAGCAACAGAGGGGTGTGTGTGTGTGTGTGTGTGTGTGATGTGAGTTAGATAGAGAGAAAAAGAAAGCAAATTAAAGGGACGTGTGTGTGGGACTTGAGAGTGTGAGGAAGGAGTTCCCAAAGTTTTCAAAGAGGGCGGCACACATCGTACTTCTGAATGTGTTTGCAGAGCCTCATGATATACACGCCAACATGCACGCTGTCGTTCAGGTTAAGATGCAGGCACGCACATGCATGTTGGTTCACGAGCAGAGGTGTTTCTTGTCATGTTTGTGTTTCATTAACTTAACTCCCTCTGTCTAGTGGTGGACTTTGGACCTGAAGGAAAGGAGAGGCTGGAAGAGAAGAGAAGAGAAGAGAAGAGAAGAGAAGAGAAGAGAAGAGAAGACAAGAACAACAAGAACAGAGTGGAAAAAGCAATGGGCAAACCAAAACTTCCAGTTGAGGAGATGGAGTGAAGCGAGCCAGAGAGTCACACAGGACAAGACAGTGACTGGACATGGGCAAAGAGCGACTCACCCTGGGGTTGCTGCTGCGTTTGGGTATTCTGCTCACTACTGTGTATGTGTGTGTTCATGTTTACCTGGACAGAAGTTGGCGGAGAACACCTGCACCCCTGGCATTTGAACATCCCATCCAGTCTAGGCAGAACTTGGGGCAACAAAGCAGAACCAAGCGGGTCTCTGCAGAGACAGAGGAGCAGGACAGGAGTATTAAAAGGAGAATCTCCTACGTCCGAACACTGAAGAAGGACAGTCCAGCTAAGAAGAGGGATGAAAACAGAGAAGTCCCCTCATCTCCTCTCAACCCACACAGAAAGGTATGTTTCAGTTTGATATCCCATCAACGTTTGAGCTCTTAATTGCTGCGATTAAGATTCTTGTAAGGTTATCTGATCTTAAATCAGTGTAGTAGGAGACAGAGCAGCTCAATAAGGAGCTTTCACTCCATCTCTGTGAGTCACTGGCTTAAATCTCAGTAATCCCAGGAGGGTGATGAAGGAAGAACAGGCAGCAGAGTCAATGCATGTTCACTGGGCGCTTCTGAAATGCTTTGAAGTTGAAAAAGAGAGTTTTTGTCACTGTCACCAGTTTTTGGCCCACGCAAAGCTGCATTTATTTTATTTTTTTTAATCAATTTTTTTTTTTTGATAAATGTATACAATTCAAACAGCTGTAATTTCAACACAAACTACAAATAAAACACTAACACTGGCTGTTTTGTATCAGTAGCAAATCTATACAAAGTCTGCTTTAACAAAGGAGCATTCAGATGCAATGACTTTTAAGAGCAAACACAGCTATTCACATACACACACACTCCAGGGGCTTGACCCTTGACCTGTGAAGGGTGTGTTGAAGCATCAGCTTTAACAAAACTCCCACTTCCCTCCCTTTTACTGTCTCGTTGTGCCTTTTCTTTTTCTCTCCGATTCATCTCTGCTCTCTTCTCCATCTCAGTAGCCTTTATTTTGTCATTTGATGTCTGCGTCCATCCATCTCCCTTTTTGTTCCCTTTCACAGCCAAATTCCACCAACTCTCCCACCACCAATACATACCCACAACAAATCTGCCTTTTCTTAATCTCGCTTTCTTCTCTATTGTCCTCCTCTCTGTTGCATTTCGTGCTCCTGATACTTTGGGGTAAGATGTGCCTGTATGCTCGCGTTTGTCTTTAAATCTTTAATGACTTATACCAACTGAGTTTTAAATGCCATGGAAATCACTGCAGGGCTATTATGCCACACTGAGAGCGATCAGCACTCATGCACCATCAATAACACATACCACCATATGCTCACTCTCCCTGCTTCTTAACACAAAATTTGTCACATACGACGCCCTGGAGGGGCCCGTAACAAAATTTCTGTGTCATGTGCTGCTGCTGTTTAACTCTCTCTCTTTTTTTCTCTCTGCCTACATTTCTTCTCGCTTTTTCTCCCTTTAGGTCTCTCATCTTGAAGATCACTGCTCTTTCGCTCTGTCATGTTACCTTGTTCCTGTTCTTCGTGCTCTCATCCTTACTTTTGCTTTTTCATCTTTCCTGTCTGTCTCAATTTGAAATTTCAGTCTCACCTCCTACTTCTAACCCATATTTCCCTTAGTTGCTATCCCTTCCTTGAACCTCTGTCCCTCTCTCTCTCTCTCTCTCTCTATCTCTCCTTTTTCCTGCTCACTCGCTGGCTCCCTGCACATATTCCTGCATAGCAGATGAAATAATGGGCAGGAAAGCAGGACTGCTGCTCTGCAAGGAAAATGACAAGGACGCCTCCGGCGACCTTGATGAATAACAATGAGGGGACTTCAGAGAAGAAGCTCAGTTATCAGTGGGCAAGGCGAAAAAGGTGAAAATTAGTTTGTAAAAGCTTAATTGCGGTGAAGCTTGGTACAGTGCTTATGCTATTCGAAGCACTTACTGATTTGCGAATTTCTGGATTTTATTATTTGGTTTGTTTATGTTGGCATTTAGTGAGTTGCAGTGTACTGCTGTAAAATTGAGAGTCAGTACGCCTTCCCCCAGTCCAGGTGGTTGGCATGCCGTTTAAAATGTACTTGCATTGCGTTTAGGCCAAAAGGGATCACACAGTTTGGAACATAACATTTAGCAGTATTTTATATTTCTGTTCCCCTCCCCTTTGGCGTGTTAACTATAGTATAAGTGTTTGTGCTTTCAACAGACTGGGGAAGGATTGAAGTTTTATGTTGCTGCAGAGCATAAACAAAGTGTTAGCTGCCCCTCACTGGTTTCTATTCATGAGCTGCAGTTTCTAACAGTCATAACTTCATCTGCAGGAAGCTGATATTCAGTTCTTCATTCATTCACATTTTATAGTCTTCTATATTTGGAGGTTGGTCTTTGACCACATCTGTATTTTCAACAATTAGTGAAAGAAACAAACAAACATTCAGAAGGACAATAGGCAGAGATGTCCACATTTTATTGACTTGAGTTCTACTGATTATGCATATAAACCAGGAGGTCATGCACCGTGACATCTACTGTATTTCGTGAATGTATAAAATGTTACAATGTCATGTTACATATCAGTGCATGACAAATCAAATCTTGTGCAATATGTTCTGTATATAAACACTGCAAATGAAGACACACCTCAGAGGGAATCTGACTTTTTATATTAAATATGATTTCCTGCTGTGCACAGTTGAGTTGTTGGTGAGGATTTCATATTTATATATATATGGGATATATGATCTTAATGTAACACTATTATTAATGTTGGTGTTTCGTAATGAGGGCTGTGTGCACTCATTCAAATTTCGCCTCCCCTTATTTTTCCTGTTAGCACTGAACTGACCTCACAGCTAATGTATTTTCATTTTTCATTTAATGTAATCCATCAGTATGGTTGATTGGCACAAACACTAAACTCATCACCTGCACTGTGGTTGACGACACTCTCTATGCTCTGCTTCGCACAAAGGTTGATTAGGGTTTCTACCAGTTTTGGTATTAAACAGTATGTTTATGTCTACATCAGGATTGAGACACAAATAAAACTCCACGCCTGTCTGGCGGACAATGCCACATCCTCTGTCTTCATCACTTCTGTAAATATTTCCACGTTCACACTAACTGATTGATGACATTTTACTGCATACCAACAACTACAAGGTGACACAACTTAATAAACTTACAGGCTGCTCTGTCGTCCTTGCTGGCGTTTGAAATGAAAGCTATAGATTTATTTTTTTTTTGCTTTGAGGCTTTGTCTGAGCAAAATGAAGCGAGAAATCATTCAGAAACTCATTCAAGGAGCTGGAGTGTAGCAAGGTTACAAAGACTCTGGCTGACAAATTCTGTCTCCTTTGTGTGTGTATGTACAGTATGTACTGTATATATATATATATGTGTGTGTGTGTGTGTGTGTGTGTGTGTGTGTGTGTGTGTGGGTGAGTGAGAGAGAGAGAGAGAGAGAGAGAGAGAGAAGAGAGAGATGAGGATCCTAAGAGTCTGTTTTAGTAATAACCAATCTAAAAATCTCTCTAGAACTGCCTGTTCAGCTTTGTTTAAACATCTACCTCTTACAGGCTTTATTCCACGCTGGCAAAAGAGGAGAGGGATGAGTTGGTTAAACATAGACAGACATGAAGCGTGTTGGGCCAAACAACAGCAGCAGAGATGGAGGGAGAGAAAGAGAGAGAAACACAAGCAGGAAGAGAGAAAGACAGAGACGAGCAGACATGGCATTCACTGATGACTCAGCCTGCTGACTTTAACACAATAATAAACAGACTACTGCCCTAAAGTCACAGACACACACAGACAGACACACAGACAGACACACACACACACACACACACACACACACACACACACACACACACACACACAAATACAATTTTCTAGCTGAAAGCTCTGAAAAAGACAAGTAATTGCTGGATGCTCATAAAGTCACCAGAAGTCACCAGATGACGCCATATGCCAATTTGCATGAATATGCTTCCGACACTCATCTCCCGCCACTGGTAGAAGGGGAAAATGCTGCTATGAACTGGTTGGATAAGAGAAGCAAGTAGGCTACCACTAATACCCTATGCTCTACCCTATTTCACAAATAAATATCTAGGATAAATACGTCATGACAAAGCATCTACAGCAACGCTAACAGCTGTGTGAGAGGTACGAAGGCACAGTTTGAGCTGAAAACGTCATGCTAACATGCTCACAGTGTGAGTCCAATTTATAGTTGAAGAAACAAACCAACCGATCTGTATTCACAATCATATAGTGTAAGTTCACGCTGGACATCACCTTATTTCTGTCTACTCTGTACATACTGTACAACAACTAATGCATGTTTGTCCAGCTCAGAAGAGAGATTCCTCGTTTGTTGCTCTTCCTGAGGTTTTTTCCCACGTGTCTTTTCCTGCCTAAGGGTGTTTTTGTGGTGATTTAGTCCTTATCTGGACAAAGTGTCCTCAGATAAAAGGTGTCAAATGTTGTAGAGATTGGAATGCACTCTGAGACAAACTGATGGATGATGGTTTGGAGTTATATAAATTTGACTTGACTTCACTGTTAACTGTTTTCCCAGGATTTCTGTGTTATTTCAGTGTTATGCAACTTCCTGCCTCCCATGTCCGAACATTCAATTAGCTGAGATGTGTAGCTGTAATAATAAAGTTACACTGACCAAATTGAGGTCTTCAGTTGTGCATCTAATTAAAAGCTTAAGTTACACACTGTTATTATGAAAGAGTGAAAAAAAGGCTTTAAATATTTATATAAAAAAAACATTTATACTCATCAGACATATTCACTTTTTATGATGTTTTATGTGTAGTTCTCGAAAACATGGTTCACAGCCATTTAAGCAGCAGTTTGGCAAATACAGCAACAATAGGAAGCATCTCGACCCAGCAGTGAACTGCAACAAGTGTCTCATTCCTCTTTCTGCTGTTATCTTTGAACTGCAAAGTGTTTTCATACAGTATGAAAATACAAACAGGACCTTTCTTAAATTTAAGGCCTATTTTCTCATACGTCCCGTCATGAAAGAGAATACTGCTCACTGCTGCTTTTGCTCCCCAGCTCAACTCTGCAAGCATTTCTTTTCTCTCACTCCTCTGAAGACAGTATCTTCAGTTCGCAGCTTTGAAGTGATTTGTTCTTAAGTTTTCTCTTAAGGCGCTCCGCACATACCTACCACTGACAGAGGTCTCCAAAATTAATGTAGAAATGAATTTTTAATGTTAAACTGTTACGTGTATAGCCCCTTCACTGCACATCCATCTTGTCAACTCTCCACGCCCTCGCCCCACATTGTCCCATTTCCCAGTGAAGGTATCGTGAGTGTG